AATCTCTGAAAGCCCCCAATGAAGTTCAAGTCCACGGAGCAACAGTTTTTCCCTTGTTTCCGGAATGGTTGAAATCTCACTTTTGATTCATGAGACATGAACTTTGGTACCGGAACTATATTAATTTACTTTCACGTGGTTGATACTTCATTTCTAGCCAATGGTTGATTAAGAATGTTTGTGAGCGGATGAAATAGAATATTAACACATTTCATAAAAAGAATACCTGATATACCATCTGATCCAAGGCTTTGCAAAGGTTTTAATGACCTTAAAATTTTGAAGATGGTTTAAGAAAACTACATTCTGTTATGTGTGAGGAACTAGAAGAGATAAATTCAACAGGTTTACGTATGAATGACTGATTTAATGCACTGGCGTTTTCATAGACTTCCCTTCGGAGTTTTCTCTTCCTAGCAAGATCATTAAACTGTCTTCATGTACTAGAAAGAGTTTTACATGACATAACCCTGTTGTTATACGTTAAATTTAGGCTTCATATTTCAAACTTAATGAGGCAGTTAAGTTGTTTGGCAGCAGTATTATGCTTCGATTTATGTGGTTTTTCTTTTTCCCTTCACAGTATTTTTAATTGCGGAGAAGAATATCTATCAAGCCTTAGTAAGGTTATTTCAGCTGGGTAGCAAATACCAAGGCAAACTTCAAGATAATATGTGACAGCATAGATTGTGTCATCCAAGGCATCATTTCCAAATATATCCCATTCTTTGGTTCGTAACATGCTCTGAGTTTATTTATATTGTCATGTGTAAAGCTCTTGTGAATAATCTTCTTAGATTGGTATGTAAAAGTATTTTTCTACAGGTTGCCATATATTTTGGACAGAACACATACAATACATCAAATTTTTTTATCACGGTGAGAAAAGTTTGCCTATTCACTTTTCAATAATAAGTACAACATTTAAAAAAATCGATTTCAAAGCAGAAATCTTAGTGTTTTGCACAAAAATGTAAATGGTATTTAAATGAAAGAAAATAGTTTATCTACGAATTTACTTTCTAAATTGTTAACATTTTGTGTTCGACAGATGTTTTTGGATATCTATATGTGGTGTGCATATAATGCAAATGTCAGTATTCCGCTTTATTCGCGGCTAACTTGTTTGACGTTCAGGCGATGGGTCTTCGATTAAAATTTAGACCCATCTATTTCATGCTTGGTAACCGAATAGTATCATGGGGTCTTAAAATAAGTGTGGTTCACAGCTTATTACGTAAACTTCTACCAGATTAAACCAAACTTAGGGTAAAACAATGAAAAAAATGGTGGCGATAATTAAAGTATGTGTCACGTTAATATAATCATGAAATTAGTATACTGTGTAGCTCGAATGTCTGAAAGGAATAAAGACAGATAGAGTGAAAGAATAAAAAGTAGACAATCACAGTATGCTTGCATGATGAGTGAACATGGGTTTACCCTATGATAAGCTAAGGTAGACGTAGAGAACAAATGCACTTATCTGAATTGCATGAATATAGCTTTCTCTTATTGACTGTTATAACTTCAGTTGGGCATAAAAGATACAGTAGTGTTCATTTTAATGAACTATTTGGCATCCACCACAAAACAGAGAAGACTTTATAAGTTTTAATATTCTTTGTCCACCAATGAGTCAGCTTGCATGACGCGGAAGAAATTATTAGGTATCTTAACTTTTTGAAACCCTATCTTGGAGATGAGGCCTTTCATAGACATAATCCCCAGCCTTACTTTACTACAAGGTTCAGGCTTTCAGTCACTCAGCGTCATACCATGACGGATCGTCTATTTATAGTAATGATGGGTAGTGGCTGGCAGTGGAATCTAGGATGTGCGTTTCGTCCTATTTAGGACTCGTCAGCTGGATGTACCTACCTGCTTTATATGATAGTCAACAATAATCTAATCATTATTCATGTTAATCATAGCCATGTTTCACATCGTTTATTCATCATACTTACTGATTCATTTGTAATTTTACTTTCTATTCTACACTACTCGTTTTATAATTACATCCATGAACTTATGATCACAGCAACTGAAAATTTATCCACATCGTATGTTCACTTACATCATTATCTCTTTTATTTAGATAGGGAGCACATGGATTCAGAAAAGAGAGTAATGCAAGAGATAGTTGATTTTCTAAGGGCCTAGTTAATTTCCTCTCAATATTTAGCTTATTAGTGTGTAATATAACTCCATAGGATAAAAATAATTTAAATCAGTGATAGTGGTCGTTCTAAAAGAGATAATAGTTGTACTACTAAACTACGAACACTGGTTTGAGAAATTAAAAATTTTATAAATTTGGTGAAAATGATTTTTAATGCCTTTTGGATACTATACTTTAGTTTGCTACAACTAATTTAGGAAGTAAACTAGAAGAGTGGATGTATGGCTAGGGATAAACTGTTTTAAATATTCAGTGAAGAGTAGGATTATTTATTTGCAAATATACAAGTTTAAAAAAGACGCCTACAGATTTGCATTATTAGGATGTAAATGCCTGAGATTGTTTCGTTCAATATTTACACGAATTATTCAGATTATAGTAGTCAATGTGGCTTTTAAGCCTTTTTTTGTATGCTTTTGTATGCAATTTTGGTTAATTTTTCAAGACGCCAGAAATCCATCATTTGAGACTATCGGTTGCGTAATTCCGGGCCAATCTTGATGAAGTAGATGTAGTTTTTCTCTTTGAAAAGTTTGATGATCCTGGTTTGTTCACTTTTTAATATGATTCTAGTTCACCGTATTATTTTTGTTTTCATTAACTTCCGCGTGCTGACGCAGATTGCTACGATTTCACTGAAGACATTATTGTTGTATCTTTCTGTGTTATTAGTTATAGTAAATGAAGTTAGTGACACTGAAGAAAAAGACGGGTACTCCGTGAAATCAATGTACATAATAAAAACCTCTGAGCTTTCATTATCCGAAATAAATGGGTAGTAGATTATGTATTAACAGTCGGTATATAATGTAACGTTATTCTAGATGCAGAAAAAAATGAAACAGAAGTAGTTTCAGAGTTTTCAAACTCAGAATTTGGAATAATTCATGAACCAGAAGCTTCCCGGCTGCGGTACAGAAAACAGCAAATGGTATAGCTTGAAGTCTGTCATAATTACGCATATTCAATTATAACCTGTATTTCTTTAAATCTGGAATTGTACTAGGCTTGTCTTTTTCAACCTCATTCTTCCACTTACTTAGTATGGTACATGGATTGATCATTTTCAATGATCGGTTCCCTTAACAGTGTTTTTACTCTACTCTGTTGTTCTGAAAGGTGACATTCAAGACTTGTGGACGACTACGCTGTAATATGTCTTGTTTTATATGCCTATACTCTTGTAGAAGAACTTACCCGTTCTTGTACACATGTACTGATACACTTTGTTTGATATTCTCAAGCGATTGCTGACAGATATCACAGAATGTCGGTATTATGACTAACAGAAGAAATGCCTACCGCTAGTAAGTATAAAAGCAATCTGTATTGTACAATAATATCCATATAAGTGCATAAGTGTTCACTTAAGTTTTCAAACTGATTTTATATCTTATATTGCAGTGTTAACCACTTTCGTTCCTGTTTATTAATGTTTCGCCTTTTGTTTATTCTAATATTTTACTTTGATATTTTGTCTTGATGTGAAGTACTGTGTTGCTTGTTCTGTTCCCCATTCAAAATCTGGAATTAAATTATCAATACTCACTCAGACTTTACTATCGTTTCTCTCCACGATAAAACCATCTCAGTATTAAATATATGAATATTGATTATTTAATGCAATTCTCATATGAATTAGGTGATTTTAATGATGCAGTATCATCTCGTTAAAATAAGGGATCCCATTTTGTAACGGAGAAAAAAACTACGAATTGTTTTCCTGGTAAATGATATCTTTATTTCAGCAGATATTCTAAAGGAAAACTTAATGTTCACGGTTCGATGCAATGCATTTTAAAATGCTACAGAACAATGAAATGAATATTACATTTACTGTTCTATGCAATAATTCATTTGATATCAGTAATACAAAATTTAGTAGTACCTAGCTAGACATTTATGGATCGTGTTGAAACTGCGTAGTTATTTTACCTCAGGATAAGAAGTTCAATGTATGTTACTTTTAGTTGAGTGATTTTCATCGCGAAATATCTCGATGTGCAGTAGTGTTTTCTTCCATCTATCGTATAGCACACTTGAGACCCATGAACCCACAGTAAGTAAAGCAGTGATATACTGAGGATTTTGATCATATTTAGGTCGATTTATTGACTAAGAACAACAGGTTTTGTGTGGATATATGCAAATATTGTATACCACAATATTAGAAAGAAGATAGTGGTCTTTGAGCTGTTGACTTCATTGTCAGTAAACTCTTTATTGTCTATTGGATTGCTCAGCCCTTTTTGTATTCAGTGAACCTTTATGTCTAGTAGTCTCCATGACTTCTGAAACAACAAAGGAATTTCAGCCGTTGATAATTTAACACTTAAGTCTGGAAGTTTAATATTCCTTAGTCTGTTTCTTTATGCACCTGGTTATGTGAAATTATTGGTTATCCTCAAGACTACTTACTATATTGTTCGGTTGTATAAGACATTTTCTTGTATAACACAATTAGTGAAATGTGTTCACAACCTGTTTATGTATTCAGCTCTCACTGGTGGTATTTTTCACACATTAAGTTAATCATAGAAATGATTTAAATTTTTCTGCTCAGATCTTGCAACCTTTACATTCACTTGAAGTTTAAAAGATTACTGGTTGGTCAAACTGGCAGGATGGAAATACCAAAAGTTGAAGTTATTAGAATAATTTTCAATTGTTTTGGACACAGTATACTCAGTATTTTCCTCATTCTAGAAATAAGTGACGTTTTTTACACCTGTCTTATATCAGTAAATAACACACAGAACCTATCCATTAACTATCAACTCTAAACGATTGTTTACATTTTTGGTGAATGTGTTTTCAGACTATCAGTATGAAGAATTCGTGGCACATTCGAAGATGCTGCCAATTATGCAACGATCAACATGGGTTCATATTGACTTACCAGGTCAAGGAGATGGTGAAGAAGAACTTGCTTCAAGGTAAGCATCTTTAAAAAAGTATTTGGTCTATTGCAGTACTACTCATTTTATATGATCACAGTTTATATTGAAGATGAAACAAAGATTGACCTATATTTCAGAGTATTATCATTGACAGAGTTAATTATTTCACATGCTTTTTTATATAAGTGAATGTTTATCTGATAATATGGGGGATATTATCTTTTAAAAAATTACTCAGGCTGGTCTGTAGTATTTTGCCAGCGGAATCGGAGCGATCTGATTGCTGGAAGGCCGTTTTGCTCGTTTTGGGGCTGACCTCATGAGTAGTGTACCCGGACAAATTCAGCTCATACAACTGAATTAATTCAGATCATCTGAATATGGCTGGCTGACTTGCATAGACGGTCCATTAATTTCTGCAAAATTATTCACGGTAAATAGATGGAAAGAGATCATATCATTTTCATGAATATGATGACTTTATCTTTATAATTTCGTCATGATGTTTTAGATGATAACTGTTTTACTAATTCTTAGAGAATACTTTCAGCGAAATCGTCATATGTAAAGAATCAAAGTGATCATGTGTGTAAATAAGAACGTATCTCATACAAAATCTGTTTATCAGATGCTGCTTAGAATACAGCATCAAGTTCTCCAGATAATGATATCTACTGATGGTAAAATATCTTCAAATATCACAAACAAGTCTTAATTTACAGATTGAGACAATTTTGATGAACGTTTAAGCATCTTTAATTCTTTTCTTCCTCAAAAGATGATAGAGTGAAACATTACTTAATATATAACAGCTATGTCAATTGCAAGTACACCTCATTTACCTGTTTGATGCCTGCTAGTAGTGAAACCTCAAATGCACGTTTTGTCTATGTTGGGACTCTTCGGTTCTATGGGTTTGCATTTGCTATTTGCGTTGATCTCAGAACGAACAGCGCACAACTAAAGACGGTTGCAACCTAAAATTTCTCTTATGGATCAACAAGACTATAAAGATGGGATTGATCAACTGGAAGCAATCTATATTAGTTTGAGTTTCGGTATTAGTACCAAAACTGGAATACCAACACATATCTACCTGCCAATTCCTAATAAGATAAAGTATATGAAATGGAGAACATTGTTAACGAGTACTACGTATTTGGTTAAGATATTGTTGAAAATAGTATCGTATCTCTGTTTTCATTGACTAAAAGCATTAGCACGATTGATTCACATTTTATACATGTGGGTATCTTAATGAAAAGGGGTTAGGGAAATCCTATTAAGAAGAGTATTGTTAGATTTCGTGTCAAGTTCTTATCTCCCCTTTGTTTTTCTACTGTTTTCAAATACAAGACATAAAATGAATCAGACAATGATAAAACTTTTTAGCACATCTTTTACAATGGGTCTACTTGTCACTAGTAGTTAACTTTTAAAATAATTAAAAAAAGACCAATACTTTGTTATTACTATTTAAAACTTTTCTTTTTACAACAAATAAAATTTTGACATATACTTTTCTTTTCGCGTAATCTTAAGTGTGTTGTGTTTTCACTTTTCCAATATCATTACGTACTACGAATGACTTTTTGGTTGCAGGTAAATGGATTCAATGCATATAGACATAAATAACATTTTGTCACTTTGATTTTAAAGGCTCTTTGTTAATCATATGAGAATAATATTTAGAAATTTATTTAGTGGTCTAGTAAACTTTATCGGTTCAGTTGTCTTTCTTCTGCAAAACGTATATGGTTATTTTTGACAATAATTATTCATATTTTTCTCCCTACTTTGTTAATTTTAATACCAAGACTAGGCAAGAAAGCAAAAGAAACTTTTTGTCAGTTCATTATTTGAAGCTGCTGCACCTATCGCACTGTCTCTGCAATTTACCAACTGAGCTATGAGATTTTCATTAAAACCACGTCTTCCGTTTCATTTTAGTCACCTAACATTTTTCTCAGATGAACAAGAGCTAGTGTCTGTTCTTCTAAACGCTAGCTATAAGAAGGATACGTTCTTCCAAAAGCAGCTACGAATAATTAATTAGGAGATATATTCGATAGTAATATGCCTGATGAACAAATCTTTATGTGGCGGAATGGCAAGTAACAATCTAAAAAATCTGCATTTTATAAAAAAAGCACAAAGTTAGGAATGAAAAATAACGTGACATTGTTTTGGTCTTCTAATTTTAATGAGTATGTCTTTTTCTCAACAAAATAGGCTCATCCAGTGAAGATCTTTTATCGTTTCAACGTATATTCCACCCCATTTTTTCAAATTTTATTTACTGTCCTTCAATGATGTCAGTAAAGAAAATATCTTGCAGAAGTGGATAAATAGAAGGAAAGTTGTTTGAAAGAACAAGATTTTAGGCAAAGTATTCTATTTTCATTATTCTAATTTCCAAAACATGGAATAGACTTATTTTTCCTTTCATCATACCCTCAAAATATTTAAATTAGTTCAGGGGTGTTTAGATGGATGAAAAAGTATTAACAACATTATTTCTCGAATGTGGCTTATATGAGCTGCGTGTTTTGATGACAGCAGAATAAGTAGGAAGAGTATTACCACTAATGTTATATTAGTATGCCCACTATAGAGGATCGAATAAGTCGAAACGTTTTTGCAGTACCTCACAGAAAGTTTTAAACGATAGATGAAGATCAGATGACAATAAACAGCTGTTCTATTCTTGTCCGAGCCATTTCAACGCTGCACGTGCTTTTCTAATTGGTCATTGCTTGGTATCACATTACCTCACAGTTTAAATATCTATAAGTATCCCAGTTTTGAAATTATCAATACATATTGAGTAGACATATCACACAAGGTGAAACGACAAGCCTTGGTAACGAACTCTGATAATTTATTATAACCTTTTTTTGTTGTTGACAATTTTACCTCTTATTAGCTGCAGGTAAAGATGCGAAACTTTTTCAACGCTTCGATTTCGGTGATATTGTTTTTCAGCAAAAGGTTTGACTTGTCAGGGGTTGTTTCGTCATTTTGTTGTGCTTGCACCGGCACTGTATTTGTTCCTCATAATATACAAGCAGCCATTTTGGATGCATTAGGAGTCTTTTTTTAATGAAAATACCTCCTTTTTATCATTACGATTGTCGCTGAGAATCTAATACACTTACTGGGATTTTGAATACGTCATTGTTGTATGAATTAAGAATTATCATACCTTACTTAACAAGACCTATCGATTTCAGTTTAATCTATATGCTGTCGAATTATTATGACGGTTATATTTACTGAGCAATAGATTGTACTGCTACATCGAACAAACAAGTTATGACTGCTCACAATACCAACTCATCCGTGTGTTATAAATGACTGGTTACTTTAACTAAGTGAAATCAACTATCTAAATATTTTTCTTGGATACTTTATCACTGGTTGTTGTCATCTCAACAACTACAGAAAGTCTACAAATCATGAACATCTGTTTGGCTTCCTTTCAGCATTCGTGGTAGTGTACTGTTGTGACTGTATCAACGAAGGCAACCAGCAGGGTTTTGGCTCATAGTGAACCTGTTACCAATCAGCCACAGTTTTACAATAAAAATAGGCACTATTTTTACCCCATGTAATTTAAAAGCATGTTGTTGCACAGCTGGAGAGTTACAAAAATGTGAAGAAACAGCTATCCATTGTTTTAAGATTTTTCATTGTTTTCTTGTTGATTTCAACCCTTGGTTCACCCGCTATGAAATCAGTTAATTTTCGAAAAAGACTGCTCAGTTAGATATTAAGATTAAAGATATTTGCTACTCTTGATACTCAGAATTTTCATCAGACTGCTCACCAGTAAACAGACTAAACTTTTCCTAGCTGGATAGTATTTTGAATTTGTGTACTCATTCTTTCGAAACCACGGCAATAACAACGTCTGTGCTTGCATGAGGTCAATTGTCTTGTTCATCTTATTCTTCTACCATGAAGTATTTACTGGCTTTTATATGATTCTCTTCATTGTTTCATTTTTACTCTCCATTTTATCTCAATATTGAAGTTTATTATAAAAGAAAAACAGAGATGTGACCTCAAATTCATAATAATGGTTTAACGTGACCTTGTTAGTGGATTCTTTTTACAGAGTGTCTGATAAATTGGCTTCTAGTCACTTATTTTCCATGTTAATTTCAGTTAATCCTAAGTTTACTTTCAATTAAGCGTCATTCATTGAAATGAAAATAAACACTTTTCATTAAGAAAAAAGCCGTTTTCTTTTGACTTCATTCACCGATATTCTGTACCCCAATGTCTAAATCTGTTTTTTTTCTATGTTACAGTACAAATTATTTGAGTATTTTTCAGATGGACAACAATTTATGCGAATGATTTGTGTATGTGAGTATTTTGTTTGAGCTCCACTGAATGTTAGCAAATTAAGGTCACCAAATAATTTCATTAAGTCTAGTTTAAGGCATATTGAGCAAGCTCGGTGCCTAATGCTTAAACACATTTCTAACAACATCAAAATATATCTGCATGCACAATTATACAAACAAGATTACCACTAGAAATGTATCAACTCTGATGCCCTGTTTTCTTTACCAAATTAAAAAATTATTTATCCCGCTGCAAAACAATTCATTGGCTATTTATATTCTAAATAAATTGAGAGATAAATCATAAAGCGATTTATTAGGAAGGCATTTGTAGTCGAAATAAGTGTACTACTTCCATTTATCCTACTAATGGTCAATTGCTTATAATTTTGCAACATTCAAACTGACAATTATTCAGTTAGTTTTAGCTTTTTTGAATTTAAAAGAGGTATGGTTAAAATTTTGGCCCACTCATTGTTCTCCAACCGCTCTAAAATGTATCTGTAAGTAGGCTGCAGCTATCAGGAGGTATGGAATGTGGATTCTACTGTATCGGGTACTACTACTACTACTATGACTGTAGTTTGAAAGGTTATGATTCATGTGTTAGTATAGATTAAATTTTTAAAAAGTATAGTGGAAAGATAAAGGTGTACAGTACCTCATTCACTTATTAGTGCG